AGACTTGTTCAGTCTTCCTATGACGTAATGGAGTGAGCTCCATAACCTCTAACAATAATTTATGAATAGTTTCAAACAATACTTTATTTCCTGCTGTTACAAAACGAAATTAGCAGATTTTTTTTGTAGACCTGACTCCTCAAGCTGCTTTTGTCAAGACGGTTTTCTGCAGCTATTCCGTTTGGTGATCAGTAACATCATATTCGAGAACGCCTTCATATCGTGACAGTTCGTGGACATTTCACTCGACATAAGTGCCATCTCTGAGCTGTTGTCACCCATCCTAATGACGCGGCCAAAACTTCCAAGTCGACTCTACTTACTTTCCTTTTTCCAATTACCATACTAGCTTCACTGCTGACGTAGTAATTTCATCTTATCTGATTCATTATGGAAGGTGGATAAAGTTGACTTATTTTTTTCTCAGTTCGTGAGCGGGCAGTATTCTACGAATCCTGCAATCTGATTGGTTCCGAGAGCGAGCAGTATTCTCCCCATCCGGCCCGCTCACACCGGGCGGTATCCGTTTCGCTTGAGTTGTTTTTCAGAACATCTCAAGCTTCTTTGCAATTTTCCACAAATATATCTCATTTTGCCAGCTGGGCAGAATTTTTTCGGCAAAGACTTCGATCACAACCTTTTGGCGATAAATAATATTAATTCTTTCTTCTCTCTCGCTCTCAAATCACTTTGGTTTTTCGGCAAAAATTGATCTCGAAATAGATTTTGTGGTACTAGGTTTGTTCACAAAAAGATTGAAACGCGGCCTAAAAACGATTTGTTATTTGACAGTCCTTCACAAAAAGTAACTCAGAAAGTTAAAAGGAGAAGTAGTTGCAGTTAACGATTACGTTAATCAATGTGACTCTCAATCTTTGATATCTGAATTCTTCAACACAAATTGTTCGTTTGTTAAAAGTTGAGCGAAGTTTTGAGTTCTTCTATAAATAAACTTTCGCCTATTCTTTGCAAGTCCCTTGAATTTGGACATTTCTACCATAAATTTCACCACAGTAACCGAAGGAATTCGATGAATAAAAGTCGCATTAAATCCCCTTGTTTCTAGCTGGAAAGAGTCTCAATGACTTCAGCTTTTCGGTGGAAGAAAAACCGATTTACACACACCATTACAGAAAACAAACAAGGAGACTGACAACTCCAAAGCACACATTTGCATTCACTTACAATTTGACTTTCCGTGACATTTTAAAACGGAACAGAGGTAAAT